GCACTCCAGCCTGGGCAACACAGCCAGACCCCAACTCTAAAAATATAAAACAGACATTTGAACAAGAATGTAAAAGCAAACAAGGTGATATTCCAAATGAGCTCACTAGTGGGAAGCACCTGCAACATGGACAGCTGGGCAGGATCAGTCCTCCCGGGCTGTTTGGCCCTTTACTCCTGTGTCCTTGCCCCCATTGGCCTCTCCTTCATGTGTGTGTCTTGCTCATGCTCCCTGACTGTGCTAGAGGTTTCTTGTCCCCATTCCCTAAGCTCTCAGGACTGGAGCTGTTGGAGGCGGTGTGATTTTCTACCTAGTTCGCCTGTTTTTTGAGATATGGCCTCCCTTTGTTGCCCAGGCTGGAGTGCAGTGGTGCAATCTTGGCTCACTGTAGCCACAACCTCCCGGGCTCAAGGGATCCTCCCGTCTCAGCCTCCTGAGTAGCTGGGACTACAGGCACATGCCACCATGGCTAATTTTTTAAGTTTTTTGTAGAGATGGGATCTCACTATATTGCCCAGGCTGGTCTCAAACTCCCAAGCAATCCTCCCTCCTTGGCCTCCCAAAGTGCTGGGATTACAGGCGTGCGCCATCACGCCCACCCACCATTTCTTCACTGGTTCCCATTTAGGATGTTTCCACTTCTGCTACTATAAATAACACAGGTTTCTGGTGCCTAAAACGTTTGTCATGTTTTGGGATACTTCCTCAGGCTCCCAGAAGTTATGTCCCCAACGGGGCATGGCTGGGCCATGGGGCTGACCATGCTCTTGTGGCTCAGGCTTTGTGTGTGTTTGTGTGTGTGTGTGTCTCCATTGGCAGCCTTGTCATGACCGAGGGGACTTGCAGAGAGTTGGGTGGGCTCTGCTGGCAGGGGAGGGTGGGGTAGATGTGGGATCAGGCTGGTGGGCTCTGGAGTGAAGAACAGGTGGGCTGGCTAGATCAGGGGTCCCAGACCCTCAGGACCCAGGTCCTCTGTTGTCCCAGCCAGCTGTTCATGGCTGACTCCCCACCGGGGAGAGGAGACATCCTAAATGGGGATGGGGCTGGAAGAAGGAGCGATCTGAACACTAAGACAGACCATCTGGGTCTGGATCATGTATCACCTGTGGCAGTCCTGGTGTAACCCCCGCCTCCAGGGAGCCTTCCTGGACTTCACAGACAGACAGTGCACCTGCCCCATGTTCATCACCCCCCACCCCCAGACTCCTTGGGAACCTTGATCGTCCTGTTGTCTTAGCTGCCAGCTCACCCCAGGGCCTCCAGGGCGCGTGGCAGGGGTGTCTTGTGTGTTGTTTGAATAAATATGCTGATAGCCACAGAGGGGCATTTTCAAAGAACAAATGTGCACAGAGACCTTAGAGGCTAGTTTACCTCCACCAACATAGCCTCATGTACTAATTTTTAAATTTTTGGTGGAAAGTATCCAACTTTCCTTGGCAGGTACCCAATTTCCCTAGCTAATCATGCAGCAAGTCTCCTCTGAAGCAGCTTCCCTGTAGAAGCTACTTACCAAGAGCATATCCAGGAGGCCTGGTAAGGCCTTGACCTCTAACGGAGATGGAGCAGGGATAAGGATATAAAAAAGAGGTATTCTCCCCTCTCACCCCCGCCTGTGTGGTGATAGAAGGCGCAGGCTCCGGGGAAAGGTGGTTTGACTCCCAGCCCAGCTACTTCCCAGCTGTGTGAGCCTGGGCAGGGCCCTTGCCATCTCTGAGCCTTCTTCCTCATCTGTGAAATGTGGCCAATCATGCCTCTGAAGGCAAATGGGAGGCTGACAGGAGAAAATGCCAGGGATGGCTGGGCGTGGTGGCTCATGCCTGTAATTCCAGCACTTTGGGAGGCTGAGGCGGGTGGATCACCTGAGGTCGGGAGTTCAAGACCAGCCTGACCAACATGGAGAAACCCCATCACTACTAAAAATACAAAATTAGCCAGGTGTGGTGGCACATGCCTGTAATCCCAGGCTGAGGTAGGAGAATCGCTTGAACCCGGGAGCGGAGGTTGCGGTGAGCTGAGATTGCGCCATTGCACTCCAGCCTGGGCAACAAGAGCAAAACTCTGTCTCAAAAAGAGAGAGAGAGAGAGAAAGAAGGAGAGAAAGAAAGAAAATGCCGGGGAGGGCCCAGCCAGCATCTGGCCAGTGCTCGGTGAACGTTAGCTCTGAGTGTGTGTGGTCACCAGGTTTAGAACCAGGAGGGAATCTGCAGAGTGACATGGACAATGCCCTGAGACCCTGGCCCGGAGCAGAATGGGGCACAGAATAACCTTGCCGTGACCTCTGCATGGAATTTCCCCAGTCCCGTGCTGGGCCATACAAGGTGTCTTCATTAGGAGGTACTCGGATCCAGCCCATCCTGCGGGTAGAGCCTTCTACTTTTCACATGTGGGTGTGAGAGCCAGGACTGTCTGCCTCCCCATTTTCTTAAATAGAGAGTCCTCAAATGCTTTAGACCGCTTTACCAAACTCTCTTCAGCTAAATAAAGCTGCGATTATGAGGTCTCAACATCCTAAAGGCCAGTGGAAGAAAACCCGGCTTATTCTCGAGCCAGCTCCCGCTCTCAGTGAGGGCAAGCCTGAATAGCCTCATTGACGGGAAGAACAGACACGCGCCCAGGCAGCCTCTGCAAACCCGGTGTCTTCCTGAAGCTTCCACAGATAGCTTTTGCTGCCAGAGGTGTTTTCAGAGTTCCCTTTTTGAATGTCTTTAAGCTCTGTTGCTGGACATATGCTCTTTTCTTTAGGTGACAGGATTCTCTGGGGGTTTTGGTAATTCGTGCATTTGGTGAATTTTGTTGAGCAACTGCTGAGTGCTGGGTGCCAGGTATGAGGCAGGCTGGCCCCGGGCCTCTGGAAGTTTGCAGCTGGTGGATGAGGCAGGTGGTGGGGAAATGACAGCTGCGAGCAAGCTGCTGGGGAACAGTGCAGGGTGACCCATGAGCACATCCAAGATTAGAATTGGGGCTCAGAATGGCTTCCCACCTTCCGACTTAAACCCGTCCCTTCCCCTTGTGGGACAGGACCAGCCTGGGGTGGTGGTTGTAGGGTAGTGAAACTGGCCAGTGAAGCAGCTATACCCCAGCCTGGGAAGGCGTCAGGGAGTCAGTCATTTGCCCCTCGTTTGGCTGTTTGGTGTTGTGTGGACACAAAACACTTGCTCTGTCCTTTAGCAAAGAAAGCTCGTGTATTTTAAGAAGCAGAAATAAGACTTAGGGATTGAGGAACACTTGATGAAACTTGGATTTTTTTTTTTTTTTTTTTTTTTTTGAGACGGAGTTTTACTCTGTCACCCAGGCTGGAGTGCAGTGGCACGATCTCCACTCACGGCAGCCTCCACCTCTCTACCTCCCAGGTTTCAAGCAATTCTCTTGCCTCAGCCCCCCAGGTAGCTGGGAATACGGGCACCTGCCACCATGCCCAGCTAAATTCTGTATTTTCAGTAGAGACAGGGTTTCACCATCTTGGCCAGGCTGGTCTCGAACTCCTGACCTCATGCAATCCACCTGCCTCAGCTTCCCAAAGTGCTGGGATTACAGGTATGAGCCACCGCACCTGGCCCTGAAACTTAGATTTTAATCCAAAACCACAAAGAGACCTGCGAGGGCGCTCTAGTTATTCTCCTTGAAATTGTTGTTACCCAGATACATCTATTGCCCTTTTTGCTTGGGGAGCTTGGAGGCCACAGGTTTCCAACTCTGGTCCAAAGACATCTGTTGGGGCACGGGAGGTGCGGGCCATAAGTGAAGGTATTCACGGTCCCCAGCAGAGACGCTCCTGAATTTGTCTTTGATCAGGGCCGCTCTGGCAAATGAAAATAGCAGTTTCTTTGCTTTAGCTGGAGTTTACAGATTGGTATCCTGCTGGTCTGACTGCAGGTTCTGGTGAGCAGTTTGTAGTTGTCTTTCAAGATGAAAACTGGAAGATAAGCTAACTGAGGTTTAATAAGTGCAATCTGTTTGGTTAGTTAAAATGTTTTACAACATGGGTCATAGTCATAGTTGGAGAAATAATAATATACCATGTCCTTGAATAAGGAAAAGATGGTTCTTTCGGATAGTCGAATAGTTCTACATGTTCAGTGTGACATTATTGGACAGGAAAACTCCAGTACAGAAGTAACAGTGGAGCTGGTTAAGTGGCCCTGACTGGCAGGGGGAGAGAAGGGATGGAAATGGGCTGGTGTGAGATGCAGTTGGGGTCTAGGAGCACTGAGGCTGGCTTTTGTGCGCCATGATGGGTGCATGATGAGGAAGACCCTTCCCCAGTGAAAACCCAGGGACAGGGAGGGGACTTCCTGGGAGTCCGCCATGGCTTTGGGCCAGTGGCTGAGGAAGTTTTTTGTTTTGTTTTGTTTGAGAGAGTTTCGCTCTTGCCACCTAGGCCAGACTGCAGTGGTGCAATCTCGGCTCACTGCAACCTCCACCTCCCGGGTTCAAGCGATTCTCCTGCCTCAGCCTCCCCCAAGTAGCTAGGATTACAGGTGCCCACCACCATGTCCAGCTAATTTTTGTATTTTTAGTAGAGACGGGGTTTTGCCATGTTAGCCAGGCTGGTCTCAAACTCCTGACCTCAGGTGATCCGCCCACCTCAGCCTCCCAAAGTGCTGGGATTACAGGCGTGAGCCACCGCGCCCGGCCTGAGGCAGCTTCTTGAAGTTGCTTCGTGGGGGCAGAGGGTCAGGTGGAGGAGGAGATGGGACAAGAAAGCATTATGATAACCCAGGTGTGGGCGGGAGGCCTGTTAACCTCTGGGCAGCCTGGCTGGTCTTGGGTCCAAAGCAAACACAGTGAGCGGAGAGCGTCCCCATCTCATCTGGGCTGGTAGAATTCCACCTGGCCAGGTGTGTTCTGAAATATAACTTTCTCTTTGCCACTGAAATGATTCTTTGTAAAACCAAACCTCAAACACGTTTAGTTTTCAAATTGCTTTTTTTTTTTCCCCGAAGTGCGTTTTTGTTGAATCCCAGTGTGTTATTTTTTTTTCCTCCCTCTCCAATATTAAGAAGAAACCTACACTCTAAAACCTGAAACGGACGAGATGAATGAGGTGGAAACAGCTCCCATTCCTGAAGAAAACCATGTTTGGCTCCAACCGAGGGTGATGAGACCCACCAAGCCCAAGAAAACCTCTGCGGTCAACTACATGAGTGAGTCCGGGCCCTCCTCCACCCCGCCTGCCCTCCCAGCCACCTCCAAAGGGGACAGGGTGGGTGGAGGAGGGGAGCTAGTGGATTTAGGTCTGCAAATCCACAAACAGTGGGAAACAGGGTGCGGCGAAGCTCATGGAGGCACAACCGTAAGACATTTTTCAAAAACGATATTTTTAAGTCATTTCAAAAGCAAGCATTATAGGACTTGCGCTTGGGTGGCATTTTTTTTCCCCCCAGACAGGTATTTTAAGGTTAGACCTTCCCTTGTCCTTTCAAAAGGGACCTGGGCTGAATTGGGTTCCTCTGGAAGGCGCTGGCCCCGCAGAGGGCAGGCACCATCCAGCCTGGCTCTGGCAGGTTCCACTCCTTCCTCACCAGGTCCTGGCTCTGGACTCAGTTGGTACATCCATGAAGTAGGGGATAGTGATGCCGCATCAGGGTTGCCCGGAGGATGAGCTGCAGCAACGCAGGTCACCCAGTGCCAACTGAGGCCTCCCTGTACATTGAGATACTTGCAGAGTTGCCTACAACTCCTTTTTGAGATGGAGTTTCGCTCTTGTCACCCAGGCCGGAGTGCAATGCACGATCTCGGCTCACTGCAACCTTCACCTTCATGGTTCAAGCAATTCTCCTGCCTCAGCCCCCTGAGTAGCTGGGACTACAGGTGCCCACCACCATGCCCAGCTAATTTTTGTATTTTTAGTAGAGAAGGGAGATGTTTCCCCCTGAGACTTCCAGGAATCCCCAAAATATTGGAGATTGCTCACCTCCGGCCCTTTGGCTCCCCGGGCACCTCAGCTCCCCAAGCTTTTGTTCTCCCTGCCTTCACCTCCCCAGGGTGGAGTTCAGCTCACCTTCAATTTCCCCGGACACTGCTGCGGGACCTCATTCGCAGCCGCTGTTTCTACAGGCCTGGGGCTGTGGAGGGGCATTTTCGCTCAGGTGGGGCTAGAGGCCTGGGCTGGATGCCCTTGGCTCTCCCCGTTTGCCCCGCAAGCCTCAAAGGCCCCTTTGAGGAACAGCCTCACACCCGCCTTCTCAGAGCCCCTCTCTTCTTTTCATAACCACCGTCTCCCCTGCCCCCACCAGGCTTTCTGTCCTCTTCAGATGTCTTTCCCTATGATGCTGAAGCATTCTGTAGCTTGCTTTGACCAGGAAATATGCGGAGGCCTCGTCCGTCCAGGAGTTCAAAATGGTGCCATTGTTTCTTTTAATAACATACGTTTACATCCCTTTCCAAACTATAACAGACTCCAAGACTGATATGTTCCCATAAAGTAAAGCAAAAAGCTTTGCAAAAGGCATCTTGGCAATGGGGGAGATGACTTGGGTGAGCCTGGCTGGGTCCCCCGCCCCACAGACTCGGAGCAACGTCCTCCCTACCCACTCAGGAGGCCTGCCCCGCAGAGCCCTGTGGGACCACAGGCACATAGTGTATGCCAGGCACCCTGCCAAGGCCAGAGTTCACTTTCTCTCTCAGTGCTCACAGAAGCCCTTGGAGGTGGGTACTGTCGCCGTCCCCATTGTTCATATGTGGAAATTGAACCTCAGGGGGAAGTAACTTGCCCAAGGTCACACTGCTACTGTAAAGCGGTGGGCCTGGGGTCTGAGCCCCCAGCGGAAGCCTTCAACCATCAGGCATCGCCCTTGCTCTTAGAATAGCACGGATTGGATTGCGGAATGTGCCAAAATGTCCATCAGCATGGGGAAGGGTCTTCTCACTCTCCTGCTTTCGTGCCGTGACGTGTATTTCTGCATTTCTCTCCTAGCCCAAGTCGTCAGATGTGACACCAAGATGAAGGACAAGTGCAAAGGGTCCACGTGTAACAGGTGAGCCTGTGCTGGGCTGTCCTGCCACTGCGGCCTCTGAGCCTGTGCTGGGCTGTCCTGCTGTTGCATATTTAACAAGCTACTCTCACCAAGCAGAACAGGGGTTAGGGCTGAGCAGTGTCCGGGCACGTGCTCACCTCGGCCATTGGCAGATCCTATGGGAATGCTGCAGGATCTGAGCAGGCTGCTCCCAGTGGGCCCCACTGGACGGATGGGCCACCCCTGCATGCCCCCCATGGTAGATGAATAAATCCATCTAGCCGATGCAGTCATCCGGATGATGAACACTGTCTGCCAAAAAGAACGAGTTTGGTCTTGGCGGTGTGACTGCCGGGCTTTGTGGTAGTAAGCAGCCGACAGGTGCAGCCGCCGCATGCACACCCTCAGAGTCAAATGCGAAAACCATGTCATTGGGAGAGGGGACCTTGCTCGTCTTCCTACGAATTCTGGCATCAGTTTGCCAAAAGCTGAATCAAGTTATTTAAAGCACATGTTAAAAAGGGAAGGTGGAATCTTCGGTTTTATATCACAAGGGTTTGGAATTGAGTTTGCCAGGAGCACACTTCACTTAGACGTTGGCAGGACTGTGATGAGAGGGGCTTGGAGCAGCCAGGATGAGGCGGCTCAGTGGGCTCACATGTGGTGCTGTTGTTTGTTGGTGAAATGAGCCCGATGTGTCAACAGTCAGCGGTGGAATAACAGTGCCTAAAACCTCGCACTCAGTGTTAGGGTAGCACTTGCATGTCTCCGTGCTGGGCGACTTGGGGAAAAGCAGGCAGCGCCTGGCAGGGGCCTCCGCCGTGTGCACTGCCCAGTGTGGGCTGCCAAGAAGGTGGAGTTGTCCTTTTGTGGCGATGCATCTTTCTGAACGTTAAGCGCATCATGAGAGCTTCTCCCCTGAGTAGTACTCAGTGGGAAAAGGTGGGCACATGTTAGAGAACATTCCTTGTCAGAAAACATCGAGGCAGTTCCAGAGCTGGGGTGGGTGGGGCACTCCCCACACAGGGAGGAGGCGGGAATCTGTCCACAAGAAGGCTGTTAGAGGCCTCCAGTCAAGAAGAATTACTCAGCCCCAATCTGCCACGGTGGGAGCATCCTGAGTCTCACTGTAGAAGCCGCCCACAGTCTGGCACACCTGTTTTCTGTTCATTTCACAAAAATAAGAGTCAGTGGGCTTTTTTTTCTGACTTGAAAAGGTGTTTATGCTCATTAATAATGATTCAGGAAAGCAATAACAACAAAAAAGTAGAAAGAAAAAAATGTGTCCCAAAATCTCATCAATACCACTAGCAATTTGATGTATTTCCTTCCAGTCTTTTTTTCTGTGCACAGATGAGGCTAATGCTGCTTATGTATTTTCTTTTCTTTTTTTGGGGGGGGGTTGGAGTCTTGCTCTGTCACCCAAGCTGGAGAGCAGTGGCATGATCTCAGCTCACTGCAACCTCTGCCTCCTGGGTTCAAGTGATTCTCCCACCTTAGCCTCCCGAGTAGCTGGAACTACAGGCTCACACCACCACACCCAGTTCATATTTTGTATTTTTGGTAGAGATGGGGTTTCACCATGTTGGCCAGGCTGGTCTCAAACTCCTGACCTCAAGTGATCCACTTGCCTTGGTCTTCCAAAGTGCTGGGATTACAGGCGTGAGCCACTGTGCCTAACCTGCTTATGTATTTTCACTTAGTATTTTCCAAGTATTCCTCACAGACTTCATGCTCAGTGACTGCGTGATACTCTGACATATGACCGTACATGAACGTGTTTAGCCATCACTTTGCTATCTGCTGGCTTATTTCCAGCTTTTCACCATTATAAACAGTTGGAACCAGGCACAGTGGCTCACGCCTGTAATCCCAGCACTTTGGGAGGCCAAGGCGGGTGCATCACTTGCGGCCAAGAGTTTGAGACCAGCCTGGCCAACTGGTGAAACCCCGTCTCTACTAAAAATACAAAAATTAGCTGGATATGATAGCACACCCCTATAGACCCAGCTACTCGGGAGGCTGAGGCACAAGAATCGCTTGAACCTGGGAGGTAGAGGCTGCAATGAGCCAAGATTGCGCCATTGCACTCTGGCCTGGGTGACAGAGCGAGACTCTGTCTCAAAAATAAAAAAGAATAAATAAATAAATAAACAGTTGAGATATGCTTGCAGGTCTGGCTTTCTGACTTTTGCTTGGAATATATATTTACAAGGGAAACTGAAGAGCTAATGGATATGAATGTTTTTAAGTCTTTCTTAAAGGTTTTCTTAAACTTCAGAGTGATTTATACTTCCATGAATAGCAGCACCATCACTGAGTTTTACCCTATTAAAACATCCTTGCAGGCCAGGCATGGTGGCTTGTGCCTGTAACCTCAACACTTTGGGAGGCCAAGGTGGGTGAATTGCTCAAGCCCAGGAGTTCAAAACCAGCCTGGGCAACATGGCAAAACCCCCAAAGTTAGCTGGGTGTTGTTGTGCATACCTGTAGTCCCAGCTACTTGGGAGACTGAGGTGGGAGGATCACCTGAGCCCAGGAAGTTGAGGCTACAGTGAGCTGTGATCGTTCCACTGCACTCCAGCCTGGGTGATGGAGTGAGACTCTATCTTGGGGTTTTTTTGTTTGTTTGTTTTTTGAGACTGAGTCTTGCTCTGTTGCCCAGGCTGGAGCGCAGTGGCACAATCTTGGCTCACTGCAACCTCTGCCTCCCGGGTTCAAGTGATTTTCCTGCCTCAGCCTCCCAAGTAGCTGGGACTACAGGCACCTGTCACTACACCCAGCTAATGTTTGTATTTTTAGAACAGACAGGGTTTTGCCATGTTGGCCAGGCTGCTCTCGAACTCCTGACCTCACGTGATCCGCCTGCCTTGGCCTCCCAAAGTGCTGGGATTACAGGCATGAGCCACCACGTCTGGCCTTGTTTGTTTTTAATGAAAAAAAAAAAAAAAAGACTATGGTTGACCTTCTATTTCTGTGGATTCAACCAGCCTCCGATTCAACCAACCTCGGATTCAATCAACTGCAGATCAAAAATATATATTTTTAAAGTGTATGGTATTACAATACAATGATAAAAAACTGGTACAAATTTTAAAAACAATACAGTGTAACAACCGTCTACATAGCATTTACCTTGTGGTAGGTATTATAAGTAATCTAGAAATGCTTTAAAGCATACGGGAAAAGACCAAAGGTTATAGGCAAATACTAGGACACTTTACATAAGGGACTCAAGCATCTGCAGACTTTGGTATCCTAGGGAAGTTCTGGAACCAGTCCCCCATGGATACCCCTCAGTATCCATGTGGATATTGTGTATCCACAATACATAACTGTATTGTGCTTGTGTGAATATGAACTTCAGTCTGTGCCTGGGTAAACTCTGACTTGTCCAAAAACAATGGAATCTGCATAAATGAAGCTTTTCTATATTTAGCAATAGACCTATCGATGAAAAAAATGATAAACTCATTGTGAGATGTAATCAACGTGCTTATCTCTGAACATCATTTTGTTTCTTCCTTGTCAGGTACCAGTGCCCAGCAGGCTGCCTGAACCACAAGGCGAAGATCTTTGGAACTCTGTTCTATGAAAGCGTGAGTGTGGCCAGTCCTCCTCTCCATGGCTTGTGTGGGATCCCGTTGCATATGTTTAAAGCAGGTGGTTGGCTTTAGTAGGAAAAGATTTTCTTTCCACTCCTTAGTCAAACCTGGCATTTCTAGAACTGGGGCGGGTCTATATTTATGGGCTTACAAACTAGCAAAGCCACTTTCGGGGACCAATCCTCCTGAAGGCCAGTCTCCGTCTTAGACGGAGCATTCGCACAGCGAACTAAGCGGGGAGAAGAGGCTGTTTGTCACTGTTCTTAGTTTGTAAAGCAACTCGGATGAGTTTTTAAGGTAAGCAACCCCAGGAACAAATGTGTGGTTATGGACAGAGGTGAGAGGCAGGAGTAGGGTGAGTTTTGGCTTGTCCTTCAGGCTTTTAGTGAGTTGAGGACAAATGTTTGGGTATTTCTGGTGAAACTTGCTGACAGAGGCTGAGAATATGACTCTGGTCTTCCCTCCCCTTCCCGCTAGTCGTCCAGCATATGCCGCGCTGCCATCCACTACGGAGTCCTGGATGACAAGGGAGGCCTGGTGGACATTACCAGGAACGGGAAGGTCCCCTTCTTCGTGAAGTCCGAGAGACATGGCGTGCAGTCCCTCAGGTAACTACTTTGTGATCGGGGCTCTGTGAAATGGCTTTCCTGTTTATGATGGTGTTGTTGAAAGTTTGAAAAGGATCACACAGGCCGGGCATGGTGGCTCACACCTGCACTTTGGGAGGCCGAGGCAGGTGGATCACCTGAGGTCAGGAGTTCAAGACCAGCCTGACCAACATGGTGAAATTCCGTGTCTACTAAAAATACAAAATTTAGCCAGGAATGGTGGCATGCACCTGTAATCCCAGCTACTCTCAGGAGGCTGAGGCAGGAGAACCACTTGAGCCCGAGGCGGAGGTTGCAGTGAGCCAAGATAGTGTCACTGCACTCCAGCCTGGGCGACACAAACAAAAAAAACCAAACCCGCAGCTCTAACTCTAACGCAAATGTGGTTTTATAATTTGATCATGATATTAATATAATAACTAACTTCCTTTATAATGTTTAAATTTATCTTTTTAAAATTCGTTTATTTTGCAGCTGTGCTTAGATTAAATTTATCTTATATATTTGAAAACCATTATTCTTAGAAGGGGTCTATAGGCCTCACCAGGCTACCAGAGGAGTCCGTGATACAAAAAAAGTTAAGCTACCCTGCTCTAGAACGTTCTAAGAGCTCTCAGGCCGATAGGAAACAAGTAGAAAAGTGTCAAGTCAAGATTGCAGATAAGATAAGTATAGGAGCAAGTGTTCACTTGTAGAAGCGATTCTATTTGCATTTACCTAATGGCTTTTTTTTTTTTTTCTCTTAACAGCAAATACAAACCTTCCAGCTCATTCATGGTGTCAAAAGTGAAAGGTAAGCTGGCCAGTCTCTTTTGCAACCATAATACCTGGGTTATCTCAGATTTTTGTGGAAATTTCACTTCCTTGAGTCACTGATAGAATGTTTATCCTGCCTGTGAACATTATGGTTCTCATCATTGTCAAGGCTTTTTCAAGATGTCATTTCTTTAACCAGCTTCTAAGAATATCTGGACTTGAAATTGGCCCGAGATCACTGAACCAGAAACACAGGGCTGAGGTTGCCAGCTGAATGTCACAGACGTACTGACGCCTGGGGCTAGAGTGGCTGAGACGTTTCACTGGGAGTGCCACTTTCTGTCCATTGGTAATGGCTACCTGGAGTGTAGTGTTAAGAAGGATTCTGAGGCCTCCATCTGGGCTCAGCGGAAAACAGAGCTTGATAGATTAGTAATGTCTGCCATGGACAAGAGAGGGAGGTAAAGGGAAGTGTGTGGCACTTACTTGCCGTCTCTGGCCCAGCTTTTTACATTGCTCAGTGTATATTCATTTGGAAGGTGAGATGCACGATGGGTGAGCACGCTCCAACCAGAAGTGAGGGGATGGGTCATAGCTGCCCACACGGCGCCCTTGACTAAAATGATCTCAGGCAAGCAGGGGTGTAGGAGCCATTCCAGCTTCCTCCCCGGAGCTCTGCCGGCAGACCATGCCATTGTTTTGGGACAGCAACTCTTATCATTTACCCTCCATGCAAAAGTTCTAGTTAGATATCTTTATTAAAATATGTAGTACCTTTGTTTCTTATTGCAAAAAGAATGCCTGTTTATTCCAGATAATTTAAACATGGAGTGGAACATTTTTTTTTGTAATGATGACCTAAATTCCAGCAGCCAGAGATAACCATGGTGAGCACTTTGGCAAATAGTTCAGTTTGTTTTCTCTATGTATTAGAAGTATGTACATTGGTAATATATACGTTGATGACTTTTAAAACTTGAAATGGGGCCGGGCATGGTGGCTTAAGCCTGTAATCCCAGCACTTTGGGAGGCCGAGACGGGCGGATCACGAAGTCAGGAGATCGAGACCATCCTGGCTAACCCGGTGAAACTCCGTCTCTACTAAAAAAATACAAAAAACTAGCCAGGCGAGGTGGTGGGCGCCTGTAGTCCCAGCTACTCGGGAGGCTGAGGCAGGAGAATGGCGTAAACCCGGGAGGCGGAGCTTGCAGTGAGCTGAGATCCGGCCACTGCACTCCAGCCCCGGAGACAGAGCGAGACTCCGTCTCAAAAAAAAAAAAAAAAAAAAAAAACTTGAAATGGAGTTACATACAATTTGGTAACCTAATTTTTTTCTTAAGTAATTATGTGTCTGGCTGATGTAGTAGCTCATACCTGTAATCTAAGCACTTTGGGAGGCTGAGGTGGGAGGATTGCTTGAGCCCAGGAGTTTGAGACCAGCCCTGGCAACACAGTAAGACCCCGTCTCTACAAAAAATATGTAAAATTAGCTGGACAGGGTGGCACACACCTGTATCTCAGCTACTTCGGAGTCTGAGATGGGAGGGTTGCTTGAGCCTGGAAGCTCGAGGCTGCAGTGAGTCATGATCATGCCACTAGACTCCTCCTCCAGCCTGGGTGACAGAGCAAGACCCTGTCTCAAAATATATATATATGTGTGTGTGTGTGTGTGTGTGTGTGTGTGTAATATATTGCTGTGCCTTTAAATCAAGCTTGTCCAACCCATAGCCCATCGGCTGCATGTGGCCCTGGATGACTCTGAATATGGCCCAACACAAATTTGTAAACATGAGATTTATGCATGGACCTTTTTTTTTTGTAGCTCATCAGCTATCATTAGTGTTAGTGTATTTTATGTGTAGCCCGAGACAATTCTTTCTCCAATGTGGCCCAGGGAAGCCAAAAGACTGGACACCCTTGCTTTTTTATTTTTTTGAGACAGAGTCTTGCTCTGTCACCCAGGCTAGAGTGCAGTGGTGCGATCTCAGCTCACTCCAACCTGCTTCTCATGGGTTCAAGCAATTCTCCTGCCTCAGCCTCCTGAGTAGCTGGGATTACAGGTGCCTGCCACCATGCCTGGCTAATTTTTTTTTTTTTTAGTAGAGACAGGGTTTCACCATGTTGGCCAGACTGGTCTTGAACTCCTGACCTCGGGTGATCCACTCGCCTCAGCCTCCCAAAGTGCTAGGATTACAGGTGGGAGTGAGCCAAGATCGTGCCATTGTGCTACAGCCTGGGCAAAAAGAGCAAAATTCTGTCTCAAAGAAAAAAAGAAAAAGTTTACCTAGCCCTGGACTAAATAAAGACAAGCTGTCAGGCCGGGCGCGGTGGCTCACGCCTGTAATCCCAGCACTTTGGGAAGCCGAGGCGGGCGGATCACAAGGTCAGGAGATCGAGACCATGGTGAAACCCCGTCTCTACTAAAAATAGAAAAAATTAGCCGGGCGCAGTGGCGGGCGCCTGTAGTCCCAGCTACTCGGGAGGCTGAGGCAGGAGAATGGCGTGAACCCGGGAGGCGGAGCTTGCAGTGAGCCGAGATTGCGCCACTGCACTCCAGCCTGGGCGACAGAGCGAGACTCCGTCTCAAAAAAAAAACAAAAAAAAACAAAAAAAACAAAAAAAAAACTAGCCGGGAGAGGTGGCGGGCGCCTGTAGTCCCAGCTACTCGGGAGGCTGAGGCAGGAAAACGGCGTAAACCCAGGAGGCGGAGCTTACAGTGAGCTGAGATCCGGCCACTGCACTCCAGCCTGGGCGACAGAGTGAGACTCCGTCTCAAAAAAAAAAAAAAAAAAAAAAAAAAAAA